TTGTGGGGGGGGGGGGAAGGGAGAGGAAAGGGATGCTGCACAGCAAAAAAAGGATTTTTTGCACAGCAGTTTAAAAATAGGCATGGAAATGCCACTAGAAATAAACTTGAAAAAGTTAAGACTGATTGTGGATCTTTTCTTCATCTGTAACCAGCTCCTTGAGTTACTTTTACCATTCTTACTGATAGTTGTTCTGTTTAAAATAAGAATTTCTGGATTCTGGAAACCAGTTTTTGGTTTGTCCTTCATTCAGCTGACCTTCCCTTTTGACCTCCACGTCTGTTTTGGACAGCTAATGACTTTGCGCACTCCTGTGCTGACAGAGGCACTGTCAGCTTTGAGAGATCCAATTTGTTCTAGTGATCTTATCCTTTCAGTAAACCATATTTTATGGCAGTGCTGAAGCATGAAGTGTATCCCTTCTGCTTCGTACTCTGACCTTGCACTTGTGCAGACCTTCGCATTTAAATGCCTTCTAACGCTTCTCATACAATTACTCACTCGAAGATGTGGCTGGTTTGTCAGATGATTTTCTACTCTTGATTAATAAGGCTGTTCTGTATAGGTTGCAGACTTCTGGCGACTTTAATAGCTCAATAAAGTAAGCATTTTCAAGTAATACATCCTTAACAAAGTAATAGACAACGTGAGCAGAAAGTAGCAACTGAAACGAATAAGAAAAGTAGTCTGAGAAGTGACACTACAACTGCTTAGATATCTGAACATGTTTATTGGTCCAGCAGAAAGGAGAAGGGAAGAGGTTTCCCGGGACAAGCCTGTGTGACTCATGCAGTTTATGTCCAAATTTTTGGTAATGGACTGTCGTGGTTTAACTCGGGCTAGCAAAATACCACGAAGCCGCTCTCACAAGCTGCGGAGAAAAGACCTTGAAACTGGTACAGGCACTCCTCAGTGCCAGCTAAGAACTTATCAGTGCTGCTCCCTGCATCCAGGAACACAGCTTTCTAGCAGCCACAGTAAAGAGATTTAACTCTTTCCTGGCTGAACCCAGCACACTGACGACTGCAAACATGTTACCTGTTAATTTTATGTAGTGGAATTAGTGAAGCATTACAGAAAATAACCATATCCCACATACTTTTCCAGATCTTTGCAATGAGTTACCCTGGCTATCCCCCAGCGGGTGGATATCCACCAGCAGCCCCAGGTAAGTTGTTGAGGTGAAGCGGATACTAAATGGCAGTGGTGGTCCTGTCTGGAGTGGGAAGGTGGCATGGATGAAGAATAAGACTGCAGGGGGTTTGCTTGACTCACTGAAGCTTCTGTGCTCTCTTGTTACGTCCTACTTTATATGGCTGGGGATTCTGATTTATATAACATGAGTGCTCTACCATGTGCTCATACAAGGTCCATTTTATTCATCTCAGATGAAGCACACAGCACTAGATGGTCATAATTTGACCAAAATCAATAGATGTCAAGAAACTGTCCTGTCAGTACTTAGTCTTGAAGATAGCTGGTGAGAAAAATAAGTATGGGGAGAAATCACTCACACAATTTAAAACAAATCACTCTTTCTTTTGCACTTTAGGAAGTGCAAAAAGAACTTCACTTCTAAGAAATCACTCACACAATTCCTGCAAAAAATGAAAGCTTTAATTATGACATTATCCCTAATTCAGGGTTCTTGGACAGATGGTTGTATATGGAAGGGAGAGGGCTGTTAAAAAGGATGTAGATTATAATAATATAAAGCTGATGAAATATGTGAATAGTGTCAGGGTGAGCTTTATAGTTGTTGGTAATTAGAGTTGTTAGTATTGTTGGCAGAAAGAAAGGACTGGAGTCATCTGGGTATGGTGAAATGTGGGCTTAGACAAGCTAACTCAGGAAGAGGAAGCAATGTACAGTGAGAAGCCAGACTAGGCTGGGAGGATAAATCCTGTTTCTCAGCAGAATATTCTGGCTCAGTTAGACTGCTCTGCAGACAAGACTGTACTGCTGTGTGCAGCCAAGTTCTGTGACTTGGGTAGCTGTGAATGTACTGTGTCATGCTCTGTAGGCATCTCTCAAAATAGCAGCCTGAGAGGAATTAATAATATCTTCCTATTGGAATACCCTAGCAACTTTGTAGTTTAAGAGTAACTACTCTCTGGTCAAAATACAGTGTTCACAGTATTAACTTTTGGGTGTTAACCTTCACATATGTTTAGACTTGTTTTAAATGAAAACTTACGGATTCAACAAGAACTAACGTGATTAGAAGTACCCAGTGAGGCTTGTCTTTATTTAATAATTGCAGTGCTGCCTTGCACCTCTTCGGTTGATTTTCCTTCTCCCAAACCGCTAGTGTTGAACAGACATTACATTAGAAATGTATGTAGTAAGGAATAAGTTCTAAAAGGTGTAGTTTCTTGTTCCAGCACATCTGTGTTTGATTTCAGGTAGCAATCCTTGGGGTGGTGCTGCCTATCCACCTTCAAATCCACCTCCAATTGGTCTAGAAAACGTGGCTGGCTATGCCAGTCAGTTCAATCCCAACTACATGGCTGGAATGGTGAGTTTGCTTTCATTGAATTTGTTTTACTGTGACTTCCTAAAGTGCAAAAGTGTGTTGCTGGCATTGCCACTGAAAAGTTTATTGCTTGAGTTCTCTGCCTTTATGTCTAGTCTGTTTAGGTGTGGACCATTCATTATCATCTGTTGCAGAAAACGGTTACTGCAAGCTATTCTTTATTTTAGAAAAGCAGACCACTGGTTAAATGTTGATTCCAGAGCCTAACTTCAAAAGTCATGGGCGTAAAAGTAATATAACTTGGGCGTTTGCCATGTGGAGGAATAGGGAAACAGACTATTAACACTGAGTGTCCACTGCTAATATGGTCACGTTTTCAAACACAGTCCTATAACCTATTCGCCTGTTACCTGGGTTTTGGCCAGTCTGAATAAGGAACAAGGCCGTGCAATCTGAGGTATCAGTGACTCATGCCTGCAGAGAATATGGGGTCAGCTGACTCTTTGAAGCACTGATGTTTAACAGATTGACAGTAACAACCTTTTACGTTGTCTGAAGAAAATGGTAGGCGTTTCCAATGTGACTTTTTATTTTTTGCATAGAGTAGAAGTGAGTGACACTTCTGACAACTCAGTCTTCAGAAATCTGTTAACGCTGCGTAACGAATGCACAGTTTGTAGGAAGACATTTGCATTACAGATGCCTTTCTGAAGCAATGATTCAGTGAAGTGATTTGGCAGCCAGCAGGCAAAATGAGCAACAAACTAACTAGGGTGCACATAGCAATATCCACAGTAACCACCTTCGGGGAACACTGCAGTCATCACACGTTAGTCCCTCTGTGGAAGAGGGTCAGAGCGTGTCACGTCGAAGATGATATCGCATGTGGAGCATCTTTGTGGCAGTTTCTGCAGATGTCTTTTCAAATGTAGTCCAGGACCCTTGGCTCGTTGTCAGCTACTAATGCATCTAGTGCATCATAAAACAGCCAGAGGCTGCTCATGGTAAATCCCTGCGCTCAGATGATGCTGCGCTCGTGTAAGGCATCCGTGGGCAGGGAAGGGATAAGCATAGTTTCCTGTTGCTGGGATTAGTTGGCCTAAGGGTTTAGAATAAGAGGTGTGTGGCTGTTGGCACTCTTCTGTGTGAGCGATGCTGGAGACAGTGGCAAGTGTGTGTCTGTTGGCTCTGCTTCTTCATGTACGGCAGCTGCTGATGACGGTAGAGCAAGGCGCTTGAGTACAGTTCTTCCCTTGTCTTGCTTCCTAGTAAGACATGATTATTACCAAGTTCGTTTGTGGGTGCAGAGCTACCTGTCTGTGGTGGTGGGGAGGGAGTTTGCACTGTATCAAGCATGTTACTGAAACTCAGCTGTTTGTACACCTTCCCATCTCTTGCTTTATTGGTTGTCATCGCAGGCATCCAACCTGGCAGGGACCTTTGGAGGGACAAATGTACCACAAGGCATGTATCCTTCAACACCTGGGGGCTATCCCCCAGTCCCGGCAGGTAGCTTTGGCCAGCCTCCGTCAGGACAACAGCCCTCTTACGGAGGGTATCCTCCACCTGCGGGAAATCCACCATCAGGAAAGCCAGCTTACCCAGGATACCCGGGTGGTGCTGTGCCAGGCCAGCCCACACCACCGCCTGGTCAGCAGCCTGTGACCTATCCAGGACAACCACCAGCTACTTACCCAGGGCAGCAGCCCATGCCAAATTATCCACCAGGCCCAGCTGTGAATCCTTCTATGCCCTCATACCCAGGAACTACGGGGCCTACGATCTCTCCTGTAACAGTAAGAGCATTCAGTGCTTTTGTTTCAATATGTGACCGTGTATATGTTTGTTTACATTTTCCTTGTGTATATGAGAGTAAACTGACCCTAAAATTGAGAGGGAAGTCAAGAAAAGAAGTTTGACTAAAGAAAGATCCAAATGCAAGCAATATAGGCTCATACGACTTGAAGTAAATGCTACCTTACCACATTACCCAAGAAGAAAGATTTGATGTGAATTCAAATTAATTAAATTGGTCTTTCCTAGCTTAACAAAATACTGCCAGTTGTGTATACAGTTTCATCGAATCTTAATTACTTGGACAGCAGAGGTAGTATCAGTAAACCTTCTTAACCTTGAATTTTCTCAATATTTGGGTATAGAAATTAACAAATTGTTTAGGGTGGTTTTTTTTGAATTGCTTGTTTCTTTACCAATGAAAAAGAAGACTAGTAACAGTGGTATCTTTCCTGAGTAGTAAAACAGAGTCTTTTACAGATTAATTCTAAAATGCAGCTTAACCTGGTCTGATTTTAGCATGGAAACCGAGGCACAATCACCGATGCCGCGGGATTTAATCCTCTGAAGGATGCAGAAGTCTTAAGGAAAGCCATGAAGGGATTTGGTGAGCAGTCTGTGGATTTACACTCCAGTTAAAAGTAGAATTGCAGCTTGGATTCAGCACTGATCTTTCTCCATTGTTATGTGTGTACTAATAAGGCTAGTTCGCTTGTGGTTATCCTTGGTTATCAGAAGAATTATTGGAAGTTCATGTAGGCCTAAACAACATCATGACATTGGTATTTGGGTTTGGAGTTTATTTTTGGGGTGGTTTTTTTTTTTTTTAATATTTATTGTGTTTGTGACTGTAAATAGAGCTTGAAGCTCTGTGGTTGTATACAAGAGGAGATACTGCATATTAATTAAAAGCATATGTGTCCTTTGGTTGGGTTTGGAAGGGAGAGGATCAAAAGGAAATGGAAAGCTGACCTGACGTGCATGCTCACTCTGTGGTGTCTGTGTGCACATGCAGGAACCGATGAGCAGGCTATTATCGATTGTCTTGGAAGTCGTTCAAACAAGCAGCGGCAGCAGATCATCCTGTCCTTCAAAACCGCTTACGGAAAGGTAAATAGTTGACGAGAACAGAAGGGAGAAGAAATAAGAGTCTTCATTCCTTCACTGGAGTCAGAAGACAGTGTTTGGAAAAAAGATGGGAAGTTGCTCAAGGGGAGGATGGTTCACAAATCATAGCCTGGCTAGGGTTCTGCCTTTACCCACTCGACTTTTTCATGCAGTGTTTCAGATGACACATATAAAGCAGTTACTCTGCTAAATGGTTACTTTGACTCTTTGGGCTGTGCAGTCTATTTAGTTGGGGCTTAATTACCTAGATGTACATGTGACATTGTGCTGGGTTTAGTGTTGTTAAGTGGAATAGCTTTACTTTGAAGATATATTATTGATGCTTATGCATAAAGAATTCTAACTCCACAATTTTGGTGCTTACATTTGTCAATTTTGATCTATATGCATTTGTTCCTTGTTTTTACTTCTCACTAGGATTTGATCAAGGATCTCAAGTCTGAGCTATCAGGTAACTTTGAGAGGACAATCTTAGCAATGATGAAGACACCTGTCATGTTTGATGCTTATGAAATCAAGGAAGCTATAAAGGTTTGTGTAGGAGATAAAATTTATAGAGGAAATATTTGAGCCGATAAAACTTTTAGTAGTCATTTAAAAGCTTGAACTTGCATTCCTTCCTCTCCATCCAGTTATTCAACTGGCTGATCTGTATCCATTTTCTTGGAATTATATGGCAGTAAAATTGTGAAATGTTATTCCCACAAGTTAAAGGTAAAGACTATTTAATAGGTTTTTGTTGTAACAAGAATATATTAATGAATAAATACACAAAAAAGTCAGCAACTGCATTCTACCACTCTTCAGTTCATTTAAGTAAGCCACTGAGGCAGCTCTCTACTAAGCCTGCTACTGCGTGGGGCACCTTTGTTTCTAGGTTTTTGCTTTGAGCTGTGATGGAACTGATGATAAAACCTCTCAAGTTAGAGTTTCCAGTGACAGTTCAGAAAACTAGGTTCATAAAGATTTTGGGCAGGGTGTGCCTTCTTTTTATCTTTCCCCCCACCTCAAAAGTGCATTTTGCTGGCCCATTCTGAACCTTTTCTAAAATATTATGGAAGTATCGTGTACTTTCTCTTTAAAGCAGTGACACTTACAAACACTTAGGTTTTTAAAACAAAAACATGTCAAACATTTGTATGTCAAGATAATATTTAAATGAAGGTGAAATAAATATTTCCATTACTGAGTCTATACTTATATTTGTGTTCTTTGGCCACAGTTCTAAGTAGCTAAGAGGATGAAATAATACTAGCTGTTTTGTAATTTTAACTGCTATCTATTAGTTAGTGAAGCTTGCCTATTAGAATTAACAAATTCATCTTTGGTGGAAAAAAAAAAAATTGATTCTAAAAATATCTAAAATCTGGTGGGAAGGATGATATATTTTAAAATGGAATTCTGTTTTCATAATTAAGTATCTTTTTGTATCTTTAATATGTATCTGTGTCTCAGAAACGTTGTTTCATTTAAACTACTTGCTTTGACTTCTATAACAAGATTATAGTCTGAATTGTGTTTTGTTGTATAATTTATTACATTTCTTTTATACTGGGTTGTAGAAGTAAGATGAGAGTCTGAAGAGTATGTTTTCTCCTTATGCTTTGTTTTAGGGTGTTGGCACAGATGAAAATTGTCTCATTGAAATCTTAGCTTCTCGCAGTAATGAGCATATTCAGGAGCTCAACAGGGTCTATAAAGCAGGTTAGATTTGTTACAGTTTCATCAAAATTTCTTTGTTTTCTTCCTTAATCACCAACTGACAATATGAATTTAGGAAATAAACAGGGATGTATGATGATTCATGACTGTGTCTCTCTTCCAGAATTTAAGAAAACTCTGGAGGAAGCAATAAAAAGTGACACATCTGGACACTTTCAGAGGCTTTTAATTTCACTTTCTCAGGTACTTGCATACTGGGATTTTGGAGTTTGGGGGTTTTGTGTGTGTTTGTAAAGCTTGTTTTTCTTTTTAAAAAGCCCCTCAGTAACACTTTTGTATCTTCAAATTCTTTCAGGGAAACAGAGATGAAAGTACAACTGTGGACATGTCTGTTGTTCAAAAAGATGTGCAGGTCAGTAGAAATTCTTCATAATTTCTAAGTATAGTTAACTCAGTACACGGAAATCTGACTGTGTGTTTTTTGCTTCATCTTAATTTTGGACACCTTGTGCCTTCTCCTGATGTAGTGCTTATATCGCAGTGGATGGAAGTGATGTGAAGAGCCTCAACAGAGCGTTAGAGCCATGTAGATCCATTACGATGATAAAGCTCTTGGAAATAGAGTCCATAGGATATTTTTTCTCTCTCCTTCTGTCAGCTCTGTGGCTTTTCCAGGTGTTGGGTGACTCCATTGTGTTGTTTATTAAGGGGATGGTGCAGAGACTTGAGGTGATAGGTGTGTGGATTAAATTCTAATATATTCAACACCTGCATTAGCTTTTGCCTGTTATTTAAGGAACTCTGGATTTTTTTCAGCAAATAAGGCAGTTTGATGTAGCACCTCTTGCCCTGTGGTTTTTTTGTGTTTCATTTCACCATATAGCAAGCAAAAACTCCTGGATTGTTTCAGCACATTGCTGTCATATAAATAGCAATGTAACTAGCTTTCTACATAGTACGCCTTAGTGTGAAGACAAGAACATCCCAGAATGTACCTAGAGGCATACTAAAAAAAGGTTGACGTGAGCCGTGTTAGGAAGAACAGTTTTCAGCTACTGTTTAAACAGTTTCCCCCCTTTAGTGATCTGGAGCTCTTGTGTTAGAGCAGTTATGCATCAGTAAGCTAGGAAGACTTCAAGCATAGCATATTGTAGGAAGGTTAGAACTAGTTTCTACTTATTGCTAGCTCCTGTTTTCCAGCAGTACGTAGAGTAAGAAATAAGTGTAAAAGGAGTGGAGGATGTAAGGAAGCAGATTATCTGAGTAATGAAGTGTGAATTCCCTTCTGTATTCAGGAGCTATATGCAGCTGGAGAGAACCGCCTCGGAACCGATGAATCCAAATTCAATGCCATTCTGTGCACAAGAAGCAGGGCCCACCTCAGAGCAGGTAAGGGTGTTCACTGCATAAACAGTAACTCGAGTCTGTTGTGTTTAATGATAAATTGTGCAACAGCGCTCTGGCCCTGTCTTTAAAATACGTGTAATGGGACCTCTATGAAAACCAGGGTGAATTCTGCTGAAGGAGGGGGTACACAAGAGCTGTGCGTTATGATCTTCTGTCTTAAATATCAGCACAGGTAGAGGTTGTAATCAAAGGTTTCTCTGATAAAAGAATTGAAAAACTGGATTGTTTCAATTTTGCCTGCTTGTGTGTGCATAAGACACTTGCAATCTTGCCTTCCCCTTTTACTTGCTAGTGATGAGGTCATCAGTGTATAGTGGTGGAAATGTTTTAGTAACTACATAGAACTTTTGAAATGTGCTACATGTTGAGGCACTTATATGGGGAGGAAAGGGTTGCTGTTTGTGTGAGAACCTAAAAGTTATCTTCTTAATGTCATTGACACCCAAAGCTTTCCTAGAAGAATTTTCACTCACTGTGTAGCCCTTTAAAAATAACGACAGAACTGAAGATGATAGAAGGAGCTTAGTGACATGTAAATGGAACAATATGGTTGGCAGCATTAGTCTTTGAGACGTTAAAACTTGTGTAAGTGTACGGTAATAGGAAGCTGAGGAGTGCAGTTGAAATGAAGCCATCCAGCATTCACCAGTGCCACCTCTTTTTGTGAGGCTGACTCCTGAAATCCTTCTCTCCCATTAACAGTCTTCAGCGAGTACCAGAGGATGTGTAACCGAGACATTGAGAAAAGCATATGTCGGGAAATGTCTGGAGACCTGGAAAAGGGCATGCTGGCTGTAGGTACGTGTCATCTTAGCAAGTTCATTCCTGGTATTCCATTACAGCTGGCTGAGATGGTGGCATCTGTGACTCCAGCTAAGCATGTTCTTAGTAATAATTCCAGTTTTCTGCTTTTTATGCTGAGCTTTCTGTGAAGTCACTCGTGGTTAGTAAAACAGCACTTAATTCACCTCAAAATGACAGTTGAAGCTTTTGCTTCAGGCAGCTGCAGAATTTAGATTTCACATGTTCAAGTGGGGAGAAAATTAGTAACTCTACTTGGCATTGTTTTAAGAAGCGATGAGGGTTTGTACCAAAGCTGAGTCAGTGAGTGTATTTGGCACAGCGTTGGAAATCAAACTATAGGCATTAATCCTCTAATTAGTTACCCTCTACATCTTTTTAGTAGAAATAAAGCTTATGTTTGATTGCAAAGGGGTTATTTTTCCACGTATCCTGTGGTTACAGCTTTGTTAAATCTTTGGTTTTAAGTGCCTGCAGTCCTTCTGAAGAGTAAAGACTCTTACCTCAAGTCTGCTGTTGTCCCTCGGAAGGTAGTCATTAATTTCCATGAGGCTGGGACAAGGCCTCAAGATTTTGTGCAGTAGGTTTTTTGGAATGTTTTATGCTAGATAAAATTTTGGACCTCTGTCTCATCTTTTGTCTCTCATCTCTTAAGACAAGGTTGCTCCTTACATCTCCATTTCTTTTTCTGTTTATTACTGTGATTTTACAGTGGTATGGTATCTAGAGCTACTACTTTAAAAGGGTTATTCTTTGGTTTTCATTATGGTAAGGACTAGAAAAGTGATGTAACCAAGAAAAAAAAAAAAACAATCAAAAAATAAATAGGAATACTTTGCATCATTTAGAAACAAGGTGAGAGAGGCCATTTGGCTCAACTGCAACAGGTTTTTTTCATGGATGTGTCAAACAAAATCTTGCAAATGGAAATGAATTTTAAAAGCCTCATTTTTTCACTCCTGTCTTGTGCATATGTGAACTATGTAACTGTTGGTCTGACTCTGCTTGGCTAAGCTGTCACTGTAGTGTCCTTTTAATGTCCCTTTAGAAACAAGGTGAGAGAGGCCATTTGGCTCAACTGCAACAGGTTTTTTTCATGGATGTGTCAAACAAAATCTTGCAAATGGAAATGAATTTTAAAAGCCTCATTTTTTCACTCCTGTCTTGTGCATATGTGAACTATGTAACTGTTGGTCTGACTCTGCTTGGCTAAGCTGTCACTGTAGTGTCCTTTTAATGTCCCAGACTGAGTCCTGCTTTGTCGGTGGGATGCATTTGCAGGCCTTTTCTGGGATTAGGAATTTGTCACCTCAGAAAGTACTGTTAGAAACCAGACTTAGGGAAAAGAAATATTTTGCAGTGTTTGTGGGAAAAGATCATGTAGTTCAAGGAACTGTATTCAGAGTTTGGAGGTCCTTTGACTTCATAGAGCCTTGCAGTTCCTTGAAAGGACTTCATGTAGGTACAGATTCAGAAATGGGGCTGTAGCTTGCAAACAAGTCAGTAGCCTTTTGAGCAAGAATTGTCTTTAATATTCACTGAGTAACTCCTTTATTGAATAGATTTTGGTTTGGGTTTTTTAATTTCTATGTGTGTGTATCTGTATATACGCACATATATATCAGTCAGTGATGTTAGCATCATTTGTTCTGTGAACCTTCTTTTCAGGAAAAAGGTTTTCTAATTGAAAATATTTAATTTTGCTTTCTTTAAAGCTTTCTGGATTGTGCAACTGGTAACTTACAATAACATCTTCAAACATTTTAAAGTACAAGTGTGTTGGTTTAGCTCAGTACAGTGATAAAGAAACATGCATTTCATTTGTCATTCATTTTTTAATTGTATTATACGTATCATTGACAGTTGTGTGTGGTGAACTGCTCTCTCTCATCTACATTTTCCTATTCAGAAAAGTAGTTTTTCCTATATAGAATGTGTATTTCTGAGAAATACGTATTTAGGTTTCCCCCTTTTATTCGGCATTGATTTTACATGATTGCCTTTGATACCTTGTTGTGCTATAAAATACAAGTTAGGTGTGGTTTTTTTTCTGTGTAGTTTGCCACTGATTGCATGATCGTTACTTGTAACCAACATAGGATCGATATATAGATTATAATTCTCATGTGTGATAGAGGATTCTTTCGTTGTCCTGATTAACATGACATTAATTTGATTTAGATTTTGCTCTTTCAGATTTCTAATGAACTGTTCTATTTGAATGTAAAATCCGGTCATTACTAAATGAGCATGTCAGAAATTTTTCAGGAGTCCTGATGAACTTTGTGGCTAAAAAAACCTAAAAGGTAAAACTAACTTTAAAATCAGGGTGAGGTTTCTAAGTGGCTTCCCAACTTGTATTAGGGCAGGGTTTGAATTTGTCATACCTTGCAGATGCATGGCCTAAAAATTCTTAAAACTAGGAAAAAGCCAGGAGCACCACTAACTGTGTGTTCCTTCCAGTCTTCTGTCCCCTCCTCATCCCCTCTTTTCCCTTCATAAGCAAGAATCTGGTCATTAGACTTCAAAGATTCATCTCGACTGCTTCATGCTAGATGGTTTCTAGTGATGGAAGTGTTTGCTGTGAGCCAAGAAGCATAATAGGTTCTTTAACTTTATTGCAGCTGCTGTTTGGATTAAAAAAATCATTTCAGTGACTAATTGAAGGAGTGGAAGCTGCATTGTATCAAGCCTATGTTTATGTAAAATTAAAGCATGTGACTATCTAGGGTAAGCTCAAGAAGTGACTGATTTCTGATTGAGGAGGAATACCTGATCTCTGAAATGCTGTTCCTTTTTGCAGTTAAGTGCCTCAAGAACACACCAGCTTTTTTTGCAGAGAGATTACAGAAAGCTATGAAGGTAGGTGCCCGTGACAAGATACATAAACTTTCTAGTGTTTGTTTTTTTTTTTTTTTTTAAATGCTTGCACAGCTCATTGGAATGAATAGTTCAGCTGAAGGTATTATGTTTTTCAGTGGGCAGATGACTAACAAGATGCAGTCATTATTGTGAAAGGTTGGAAAAATCCAGCTAATTTGACCCACTTAGCAAAGAAATGCATACAACCATACTTTAAAGAAAGTCAGTCATCACTTGGTAAAACACAAATATGCTTAAGACTCATTGAACTTGATCTCTTAAGCAGGGAGGTGTAGCTGAAATACATAATAAATAAAATTAAACTCACTGACCTTTCCTGACCCCCGGTCCCTCTGACATCCCTCCTTTTTATTTCTAAGTGTTCTTATGCAGAGAAGTGACCATCAGTGTCCTACCAGTACCTTTAATTTATTGAAGCGTGATAAGCCAAATTCTGTTCAAGCTTATCGACGTCAATGGGATTATGCTAGTAAATGGCAGTTTGTGGAGTGCTGATGTATTTCATTTTATTTCATTTACTAGTACTCTATCATCCAGCATTTCCACACATTATTATTACATTATTTTGTTGTACTCTTTGTTTCAGGGAGCGGGAACAAAAGACAGGACTCTAATCCGAATCATGGTGTCTCGCAGCGAGGTTGACCTGCTGGACATACGTGCAGAATACAAGCGGATGTACGGCAGATCCCTCTACGCAGATATCACTGTAAGACTTGGAGATTTTCTTCCCTGCCATGACATCCTTTCTGCTAATGGAACCTGGGTCCGGTCCTTAGGCTGAACAGCTATTAACTGCTCTGTGTGTAGCTGGCTGTGCTTGCTTTGCTGCGTTTGTCAGGAGAGCTGAGGCTGAAGCGCCAGGGAACAGGCAGCACTTGGGTTTGTGTGAGGGCTAGATGAGCTAGAGATGGAAAGGAAACCAACAGACAAGGAAGGAAAGGAACATTGGTCTAGAGGGGTTTCAGAGGCTGCGTTTTAAGTCTGCTCTCCGTCCCAATCTCTGTATATGATCTTGGAGTAACTGCTTAATCCTCCAGTAACAATGGTTGATGATGCTCTGCCTTGTGTGTGTTGCAAGAGTGTAAAGCTCCTAATACGCTTTTAAAAGATAGCCCCCTCTTTCTCTTGGAAGTCGAAGATTTTGCAAATAGACTAAACCTCAGATTCTTCAGCAGCTGATCCACCCTACAACTACTATTCACAGCTGTAGCAACAGTCAAGAGGTGCCTGGCCAAGGGGAGGAGAGTGAGTGGTGCCCCTTTCATTTACCTTGTAATGAAGGTGCCAAGTCCATTAAGCCCCTCTTTATTCCTCCTGCTGTTGACACTGAGGGACTGAACTTGGTGGTGGTAGGAAGGAATCCTGCAAAGGTAGTGAAGGATAGTAGTTGCATGCCCTGTAACTGCAAATTTGTGAGTAAATAAACAGTGAGGCTTTAGTGGATAAGCTGTTGTACGTCTCTCTTTTCTTCTTCTCTTTTTATCTGGCATTAAAATAATCTTACCATTCAGAAACAGGACCAAGCCCTACCCATTTAATGGGCTAAACGTAGTCAGAATTTGGTTTCAGTAAATGAGGGGTGTGCATATGCACAGTTCTGTGTATGTAAACTACTACTTATTTCTGTAAAAGTAGCGCCCAAAACATCCCTGGAAAGTAAGTGGACAGCTGTTTTTTTCCTTTCAGTGCATATATGAACAGGAATGTTTTATGTTTTGTGAATTGTGCTTTACACATGCACAGGATTTATCGTGATCTTTGAAGTGTCTTTGTCGTGATTGTAGTGATTGTGATCTGGACAAATCGCTTTTCAGTCATACCTGAAGATGACGGATGAGATAAATACGGTAACTGAAAACTGTTCGGTGAAAAGGTTTGGCAAGCCTCACCAACCAAAACTAGTTGAAGAGCAGCTCCCAGGGAACACTTCTTACTCACAAGAGCACCAGGCCAAACTCGGCTAGCAGGGCCTTTTATGATTGTGACTTTCACTGCCCACCACATGAACGAGGTGTTCTCTAATTGTGGAGAAAAAAACCCTTAGGTCTTTTGGTATCAGGGCATTGTTTTTAATGTTTGAACATAATAAAGAGTAAACTTTCACTCGATGCCCCTGGAAAAATATCCACATTGACTGCAAGGAAAAGGACTCCTGTATTAGTTCTTCCACATTTTCATACCTGTTGTGGAAGACAGCTTTTCAGTGACATTTTTTTTTTTAATTGAACTGTTCACAGGTAAGCAGCTGGACCCCTATACCGGATTCAGTTTGCTAAGGAAGTATATTCTCTATGGACACTTTTGGTTCTGGTTATGGAAGGAGCAGATCTTACTCTGTATTTGTGTTGGGGTGATTTCTAATTAGCAGGCTTTGTAATTTTTTTTTTTTTACAGGGGCTAACATCTGCTTTCTTTAAGCCCTGATTTTCATCTCTTTTGATCGCTAATATTGAGTTTAGGATGCTTACACTTTTTTCCTGTATTTCAAAGCACAAGTCTTCAACTTTTCTTTTTCTGCATTTCTTTCCAGGGGGATACTTCAGGAGACTACCGGAAAATCCTACTCAAGTTGTGTGGTGGAAATGACTAAATGGAGCATTGATCTTCTAAGAAAAGAGCTGCTATTTGCAAGGTTTTGCTTTAAAGCATCTTTTTTTTTTTTTCCTCCAAAAGTAAACATGTAATGCTCCTAAAGCGATTACATTATAAAAGATAATATCGCATATATCTTCAGTTCAGAAATAGTAGGTAATAAATGCCCAAAAAAAAGAATATCAAGCTTATGTGCCATCTGCCCAGGATTCTGTATAGTACTCTCAGCAATCCATGAATGACAGGTCATTATTTCTTTTCTGCTTATGTTATGCTGAACTAATATGTTTGTTCTGTGGAACAAAAATTACAGCTGTATGATTGAAGTTTTTCTTTTGTATAAACATTATGTGCCATTTTAATGCAGATTTTATATATATTGTATGCAGCGTTGGATTCATGCTAGCCTCCTCCCTGATACGTGGAGAGAACAGCCTTGAGTTTTTGTGTCTAGTCAGGAGTGATTGAAAGAAGTTTTGTCAAGTTCTGTTTTCTTTCCTTGACTGTTTTTTAAGGAAGATGCGTTCAACATTTCATTCTCGCTAGGGCAGCTGTCACAAGGGGGTAGTAAAGATTCTATGGTTAATGTTTTAAGGTTTTGGATTGTGCCTTAAAAATATGTATGTAAGACAAGATTATGAAATTAAAGCTGTCTATCTTGTAACTCTTCACAGACTATGTGTTTTGCTGTTCACGCTGATTTATGTGTGAGTGATGACTCAGTTTATGTAGTTTAGTTTTTCCACTAATCCACGGAATTGTTCAGAAATTGTGGTGTTGACAAGAGTTTGGGGCTTGTGTGCTGTTGATGGGCAATTGTCTGTACGTGATATATATAATCTGCAGTTACTGCTCAGTGTTTTCATTTTGCGTGTCATAATTTGTCTGACTCTTGGAGTGCTGAATTTTGATTCTCTGCTTGCGTGGATGACATCTCTTCAGCTTGTCATTCTCAAAATAGAAACATGGAAAGAACAAAAAAATACCAAGTGGGGAAGAGGTTTGGAGGTAGGTCAGTGAAAACAGACTGCTTGTTGGTGAAGGGTGTGCAAACCCCTCTTATTTCACACGCATACGCAGGCTCGCTCTCTCCACTCTCCTAACGGTCAGGCAGCAGTTTTTTCCTAGAAAAAGTTGTGTTGCTGGTTCTTGTGGATGTTGGAACGAATTGTGTTGCATTGTCACTATGGCACGGGAGAAGAGCGTAAAGGTTAAGAATAAGGTGGCTGTGTGTCCAAAGGACAGATCCTGACCCAGGCCCTGGTCTGACTAGGATGTGCAGACAGGGCTCCCGTTTCAGTCAGTGGCAGTACTGTGACTGGGGCCAGAGCCAGGCCGCTCCCTCCCTCACTTGTGTCAGACAATCGAAGCATATCTTGAGAGGCAATTGCAGCTGAAAGTGCATCTTCATGGATTTACAGTGATAGACAGAGTTCAGTTCTTTGCCAGGGAAGGAGTAAGCTTGCGTGTTCGCTGTGCTTTAGTCCCGCACCCCCCCGATCTTGTTTTCTTACGGAGAATGCTGTATTTGAAATGCAGGTTTGATCAAAGGTTTAAAATGTAAAGCTTTGAAGTAGTGTCTAAAAGCAAATACCTGTTTATTATATAGCACAGGAACACAGAAGGCAGACTACAGCTGAGGGTTGTTCATCCCTGCTCCAATTCTGGGAAAACAAGCTTATTAAATGAACAAAAGTGCAACTGTTTCGGGCAACCGTAGTGTTACATTCGGCTGTCTCCTGTCTTTGCCGTGCTCAGCTGGTGTCTGTGGAGAGAAGAGTTGATGTGATTATTTTTGGTTGTAAGATCTTTGTGGATGAATATTGTTTAAAACATGAATCCTGCTACTTGGAAGTGGGGAATTGTCCCTTTGATTCACCAAATCACAGAACAAGGTACTGTCAGCAGGTCTTGAGCCATTTGGCAGTTGTTGCAAGCTCCATCTGAGCAGGATCACAGGATCACACAATGGTTTGGGTTGGATGGGACCATGAAGATTAGTTCCACCCACACTGCCATGGGCAGGGACACCTTCCACTAGACCAGGTTGCTCCAAGTCTCGTCCAGCCTGGCCTTGAAGACAGCCAGGGATGGGGCATCCACAGCTTCTCTGGGCGACCTGTATAGTGCTTACGATAAACTTGCTGCAAATATGCTGAGGTTGACTTAGGATTTCGATTTCAAATTCACTGTAACACTTTACTTGGAATACTTTTCTTTTTAAATAAATTATTGTTGCAGGGGAGTAACTTAATTGTTACATATCAATTGCCCCTCACAGAAAACTGGGAGTTCTAATGAATAACAAGGTTGGTGCGGCCGTATCGGTCATGGTGACCAGCTCCATACAGCCGACTGCAAGAACTAAAAGCCAGCGCACGCTCTGCTGCTGTCTGCTTCAAGCCACCTGCTGTCATGTCAGTGCACTACAGTGTGCACACGTACGTACCCATGTATAGCTATCTTAAAAAAGCCAACACTGACAAAACTGGCTTCATAAAGATGTCTGTGGGTGGCCATAGCTTTCCACAAGAGATTCATTTTCCACCAGGAGTGTCTCTCACCTTGTTAAACGCACTATTGCAATTTGGGCAGAGATTGAAGAGGACAGAGCCTTATAAGAAGCAGTGAAGGATAGGTAGTCTCATCCAAATAATTATTGTTGTGGTTTAATTTATTCCAGAAACGTTTATCCAGGAGCATGTTTTGTGTGAGGAGCTTGCATGTCAAAATTGGATTTAAGGTATCAAAATGGTAATACTTCCAATAACTTTCTTTTGTATTTTGTTGCCCTCTTTTGTTTCATTCGTCACACATGAAACTAAAGAATCACAGGATCTTAAAACTGAAAGAGATCTTGAGATTGCTTAGTCCATCCTGCAGTTCTAAGGTATGATTCCTTGTTCAACATTTCCAGTGCTGGGGAAACTACAGTCATACCATTTCTGTCCTTCACTGCCCTTGTAAGAAAGCTTTGCATTGTGTTCTACTGGAGCATTTCTTGCTGCATTATTTCCTGGTTTGTTCACTTTTGCAATGGGAAAGTAAACACAGCTTTATCTTTGTGGCAGCCCGATTCATTCGGGTGAGCTACTTAGATATTCTTTAGACTAACGGTCCCCAGTTCAACATTTCTGTGTAGCCCATGTATGTGGCTCCTTGGCTGAGGTTTTGTTTAATTGGTGATGTTCCCCACCTCCTTCTCTTTAGTGGTTGTTGAAGTCTGTTGTTCAGAACTGACCCAGTGTTTCAGCTGAGGCCTTAGCTGCACTGAATAGGATGAAGAAATTCACATCTCACGGGGAGAAAAGCTGCTGTATTTGGTAATAACATGTGCAATGCTATTTTCAACTTAGGTTATAGCCCACTAGGTACTTACCATCAAAAATGTCTATAAGTGGGGTTCCTGGAGCGATGGGGATATTTGATGTTGTCTCACTGATGATGTTGAGGAGTGACTTGACTTCTGATTCTAGATGCTCCACTGTTTTTATTACCTTCTAATGAAAACAGAGGAGACAAATGGAGAGAGAGGATAGTTAGAGGGTCAGGTGGAAGGAATTGTACCAAATGTGTTAGCAGGCGTGCTAATGTAATGTCCCTAATGCTAGCAGCTAATTGGATTTGTATTGCGCATTGCAGATTTAAGTATTGTTTGTGTTACACTGGCCTCTAGTGGCACCGAGTATTAAATAAAACTTTGTGTCGCAAGAGTTAAATTACAGCACCTCTGCGTAAAGAATCGCTCGCAGTTTGAGTGCTTGGATGGAGCTTTGTATCAATTTGGTTTTGATTCTCTCTCAGTTCTGAGCCAGCACGATATCCAAGAAAAGAATCTGTACGGAAGATGAGAGGAACTGATGAGGTTGGAAAGAGGAAGGCTGGAACTGGAGCAGGAGAGTTGCCGTTTGAGAACCAGTGGCGTGCCCTGTGGCAGCTCCCCGGCTGGAAGTTTTTAGCACTGGACGCGTATCTAGTGTGAGTGCTTAAGACACCAGGGAAAAAAATGAAAACTTTGCAGCTTTCCTAAAATCCCAGTCATCAGTTTCATTTGGCTCTTGGCTGTCTGCAGGAGTGAGCAGGAGCTCCTCCATCAGTCTTAGAGTCACCTGCGGGATTCACATCTTGCCATGAGCAGATGTGAAACCTTAGAAGTGTCAGTTCTGAGATTGTTATATTAAAGGCACGGTTATAAACATTGTAGAAACGGTTGATATGTGGTATTTGGTGATTGGTTAATCAGTTGTTTGGAAATCATCAAGAATATATGTTTGTGGTAATACTGCCTTCATATGTAGTTACAAACCATGACATCTGCAAAAAATAGACCTTGAACAGAGTAATATGAAGAAAGGACAGTGTACAGAAACATCATTCTTTTTTCTTTGATCAAAAGGATGGAGCAGAGGCCCGGTGAGGTCCAGGAGCCAGCACAATAGCTCTTACCTCTTCAATAATATCTAAGCGTTCATGCATCTTGTCATGGTCATTACACCAGGTTCCTCTTCCCAAACCTCCACGTAACACACTGACAGGGTCTGCAGTAGCTGGAAGAAACAGCCACAGTTAATTAGCAGGAGCTTTCTAACAGCAGTCCTTACCTTTCTGACTTCAGAAGTGGTGTTTTGCATGCTGAACAGCATTGTTTATGAAACTAAATGTAGGAGTCTCGGGTAGAAATTGAACCTCTCCTAATAACTACAGCTGTACCCCAGTGTGTGAATGTCTCCTTCTCGTACACACTGCCAGGGTTGGCTGGAACAAGGTGTTTTCTCTTGCCAGAAGTATATTTTTGTTTTGTTTGTGTGTGTGCTTGTTTTACACAATCTGTTTTTTCCTACCTGTTCAGGGTAAGTTTATAGACCATAACTCTGCCTCTGCAGGTCTAAAACCTAAGCATTGGAAATAGCAGCCTTACAGATCAGTTCCTCTCATACTTTCTTCCGAAGCAGCTGGTACGGTAAAGGTTTGAAGAACAGCAACCTTTGGCCCCTTGTGACACAAAAGGCTATGAGCTGGTGTTTCCACTGGGCCAGAAACTCATCTGTAACAGTCTGATTTTGCAGCGGGAAGGGAAACAATACGAACGTGTACAGCTGATGCCATTTGTTGACCAAGTCACTTGTAGATGGTGCTGTATACAAGGTCGCTTATCCCTGTCAGTTACCTGTATGTACCTCTCCGGGCTCGTGAGCTCTTGCTCTTTGAGCGTTGATTCTGCTGGCTCTGCTCCATGAAAAGGTCAGTTCCGTGCTTTAATGGAGCTAATTTCCTTTCCATAACTTCTGTGCAGCATTCAGTAACTTTTGGATTTTAATATGTGTGCCTAGAACCGAGTGGAGTATTTTAAGCCCCACCAAAGTGATAACACAACTTGCTCCATGTTGATGAAAATCAGGTCGTGTTCTTGTTTGAGGCCTGGAGAAGCTATGGCAGCGAGAAACCAGCAGTTACGCATTCTGTTGATCTTGGATCAGGGACAGAGGAAACTCTCAGCCTGTGTTGTAATGAACAGCAAGAAACATAAGAAGAGCAACTAGTTCTGTCTTCAGCCCTACTGTGCAAGAGCAGTTATTTGGAACTGCTGCAGTGCTTCATCACAAGTCTCTGCCAAGATTTGTGGCGTGTAGGTGTTGGGTGATGGCAAACACATATCGGTAAGGACTGTAGCCACTGCAGTTTGGTGGGATGAGAGATGTACTCCAACTTTGAACGACATCCTTGAAATTGGAGGGTGGAGTGTGGGGAGGAGGAGAATATTGAGATGTGATCTGATGTACTGGGAGTGACATTATTTAGACATGGGTTTGGCAGAGCTTGAGAGAATTTCTGGTTGGTTGTAACAAGATTTTAATTTTTTTTTTTTTGGTGCATTGACCAGGAGGTGGTGCTGTAGGACAGAATCCCAAAGGATTAATATGCCTGTTGACAGAACACTGCTGAAATACGTCAGGTACTTAAAACACTAGTTCCTTTGCCGTTGCTTTTTTGTTCCCTTTAGTTGCTGCTGTCGGTGTCACTGCTACTTAGTAGTCAAGTGAAGCATGCTACTTCGCAAAATTTTTGCTCATTAACGTGTTTTTTCTATCATGGCTGGAATAATATGGAGAGACTGAAATTCTGTGTCAGAAACGAAGGTTACAACGCAGTGGCCAGTCTTTCTCTACAAACCTCGTGTTTTCTATTAATAGGGTAAACATAAGTTAAGCTCCATTTTAGTGTCAGAGATTAATAAAATGTCCACCTTGCCAGTATTTCTAACTCTCAGTGTCAAGCCTGATGGCCCAATTTAGCTGTATGCTGACTGCCACCCATCGTGTGGGAGAGAGGACCAAAGGCAAGAGGGAGGTACGGTGGTGAGGTAACTGCAGATTGGTTGTTGATTGCTGGGTACGTTCCCAGATCTGACTGTAAATGAACTGTGAAAAAGAGGCAGCAGATATTAAGTGGACTAAATGCAAATGGAAAAATTTAAGGATCCCCCAGAAGGTTATTTTTCACTGCATTAACCTCTCTGTAGGTGGCTGGATCACAGGTTTGGATGGAAGGCTTGGGTGAAGGCCAGCACCACTTACATGTGGTTGGTAAAGGAGCTTTTGGCCAGCTGTAATCTACATGCCAGACTTGTTTAGTTTTGTCCATTCCCTAGAAATGGAAAATGCAAGAGAGTTAATGTTGGCTACCTCAGATTAGTGTTGGCCACTTCTCTTTCTCTGAACGTGCATCTTATATCATGCTGGTACATTAGAGAAAGCCCAGGACTGTGCTGTAGGAGAAGCAGAAGCAGCTGTCATCCTGCCCAAAGTGGGCCAAACTGACCCAGAAATGCGCTGGCCTTTCCAAACTGCCCCATAGCCTGGTGGACATGCCTGTTGCCACTGTGCAGGGGGTCCTTTCAAATTTTCCCTGCAACTGGACCTTAAATCCTCAAAGTGACTCTTTGAAGCAGAAACGGTATAAAGTCTTACCTGAAATGTTGCTTTAATAGTTCCTTTTTAGCTTAGCCCTTTTGTGTGAAAAACCTGAGATGCTGAGAGCCGCTCTAAGCAGGTGTACGTAGGTGCAGAGGTTAGATGTGGTGGAGGACCATCATTTGTTCAAAGCACAGTGTGCCTGGATAGGTGTGTGTAGCCAGCGTTGTGGCGAGGTTACAAAAGCACTGCAGAACTCCAGAACTCTGTGTGCACATGCACGTCGAGAGAACTAGGTACAGGAGTGGCGGTGCAGTGCAGGACTCACCAGTGCTCAGTTCCTTGGGGTGCTTGGTCCCTCTCCTCTGACACGGAGAGAGGCAGATTTCTAGCCCTTAGAACACGCTGCCGCTTTGCAACGGGCTTACTGGAGGGGGAGGAAGCATCTCGCCCCAGTTTGGGAGGACTGTCTGATGTTACCCAGAACCACAAGGCTAGTGCAGTGCCTAAAAATATCTGACAAATGGCACAAGCCAAAGTGTCTTGTGAAACATCTGGTTGCTGCTGCTAGTGAATGGTAAGGGTTAGCAGAAACCAGAGCGTGTCTAGTTCCCAGAGCTCACAGTAAGGAGCTGGCTGAGGGCTGCCCCAGCAGAAACCCCCCAGCCAGGAACTGCACGTCTGTCTGATTAGAGACCCTCACTCCAGAGCAGAGGTGCTCCTGCACTTGTGATTGTCCCTGCCCACCGTGCCAGAACAGGGTACTTCAGGGAAGCGGTTGCTGCTGCTTACTGGGCAGCCCGTGTAGTTTTTGTAGGAATTTTTGGTCATTGTAGTTTTCTTCTGTTTTATGAGCCTTGTCTTGAGGCCTTGACCACTAAAACCCCTGACTTTTATTTTGTGGTCTGGCTTTAGCTCTTAGCCCACAGTGTGTATCTCTGAGGTGGGCTGTTCACAGGACACATCCGATCCCTTGTACATATGGCCCGTATTTGGGTCACTGTGGTCAGACAATCCAGCTAAAGCAGTAATTTCCATGTGCACAAGGAGAATCACGTGTTGCTTACGAGCACTGCCCTTCTTTGTATTTCAGTTGGTGAAAGACAGTGACGAAGTCTGCCTTTGGCACTGACCCTCTCCAGCAGCATCCCTACCTTATGTAATAGTAGCAGTCACGGTGTGAAGGAGTGAAGAATGTAAGGCTGCGAGCCATGTAAGGAAGGGACTAATGGCCTTCTGGCATACTTCACATACTTGCTCTCTTGCTGCTGAAGAAACATTTTTTAAATGTAGATTAGAATTCTTACTTGCCTGTGTGTCAAAGCACATGCATAAATGCAGGAAACTGACAGTAAATTTTTAAGCTAACAGCTTGTGAAAGGAAACTGTTCTTTGTATGCTGTATGAATTACATATTTAAAATATGTATTTGCCAGTTCTGACAGCTTAAGCACATGTGTAGGAGCCATATTTCAGTGTCATGAATATCTCACTTGAAACAATGGATTACTTCAGGCAGATATTTGTTGTAATGTTTCAATATGGCAGAGAGAATATTACCTTTCAGTTTATTTCCCATGTGCAAGTTCCCACCTGATGCTTCCTGAAAGCGAGATGCTTACTTCAATTCCTGAAGTCCATTCTATTTGGTATATAGGGGGTTATTTTACGTCAAGAATCGAAACTCTTCAAGATAAGAAAATGACGCGTGCCTTTTTTTCCCGGATTAAGTTCTCTCTGCTCCGTTGATGGTGCCCACAAAGTTGGGTGGTTTTAAGTGCCCTGTGCTGTGACACAGTCAGACACCAGCAGATGGAGCAGGAACATACAGAATCTCTGAGTTGGTTGCTAATAAGGATATGTTTAATGGAAGAATATGCTTAATGTTTGAAGGAAGTCGCATCATAAAGGCAAAGATCTGTGTATCTTGGTCAGCCTGACTGTACAAACCTTGGTCTTGTAGCAGGGGACAGAAAGAGCAGTGAGGTAAGAATTAAAATGACCTTGGCAAACAGGTTAAGAGTACAGGCCTTACTTTTAGATACCTCTCAGTTAAACATCCTCTGCCTCCTGTACCTATGTTATATTCCCCCAAACCTCCAAGATGTTGCTTCTACACACTCCCTGAAGAAGTCCCCTTCTAGGATCATCAGGATTCTGTATATCCAGGTGCTGTTAAATGGTTCGTTTCAATCATCCAGGCAGTCGCTGGTGTTAAGCATCAGAATAAACCTGAGCAACTCTCTCTTCACTGCCATTTGCTGCTGTTACTAAATCTGCCAGAACTGATGTGTGTGATCAGACAGATGGGATAGGTCTTTATAAGTCTCCTTCCTCAAGATTGCTGGTCAAACTGAAGTTATAGGCTTGATACAGAAATTGCTGGGTTGGATTCTTTGGTCTGTGTTAGGGAAAAGGTCAGTCTGAGTGACCATAACGTTCCCTATTGGTCTTTAAGTCTATAAAATTCCTTTTGCATCATTCTGTGACCAGTGTGGTTTTGAAAGTTAACTGAGAGTTCATGTTGTGCTCAGTAGGGAGGGCAGGGTAAAACAAAGCAGGCTACAAGCCCAATGAAAGATAAATGAGATTCAAACAGGAACCAGATGGCACATAAGGAAGCTTGAAATCACGTGGTAGACCAAGGGAATAAAGGAGAATGTGTGTAACTTCAAGAAAATATACTATGCAGTGTGTTCTTTGCATTGCCTTAGGTTTAGCAGCATCATTTTATTCCTGGAACATATAGCAGAAAGTGGCCAGATAGCTTTTAATGGGAAGATGAAGGGGTAGTAATGGATTTACGTTCTAAGAGGAAAAAGGTCATGACCTTGAGTGTCAGGTTCAAATGGTGAACACCCTAACCAGTTGGGGAAGAATGCAGCAGACTTCTGAAAGGATCTGCTGATCCTTGCTGATGTTATTCCTTGTCTAAAGAGAAGTCTTGCTCTGCGCTTAACCGTGTATATAACTGAAGAGTTAGCTGGAGAAATTACATGCTTTGCAGAAGTGGCCAGTGAAGTTACCTTGCAGCTGAATGCAGGAAAGGTTCAATTGCTCTGGCCCTGAGCTGGTACCAACACTGTTGGTGTTAGTGCTGTCAGACCTGAGGCCATGTTAACACAAGACTGTTAGTCATATTTCATTTTGGGGGCTGTTCTCAAAGGCATCAAATTTAGTTTTCAGTTATCTTCTCTAAATTATTTTAAACATACATTGAAGGTTTTTAATGCCTGATTAGGAATTAATCTGCAGTCTATACATTCACTATACATTTCCTCTGCTACCTGAATGTCACATCTTGGGAAGATTTCAAACATGGAACAAAATCCAAGGGATTTCTCTGGTATCCAAGATTCATGAGCCTCTGATAATTAGGGAAACATCCTGAAGTAAGTTTCTTTTGTGAAATTAGTTATATTTAATATTAATTTTAGAAACTAAATAACCATATCAAAAAGTCAAGTTCCAAACTTGCAGACCTGGTTCATGCTCTATATCAAGGTGTAGAATATACTATTATGAATATTATTTCAGATCCTAGATCAGCTAAGATTCACCTATTTTAATTATTTTTTTCCCTGAAAGAGAAGGACCAGAGAGGAAATCTCATGCCTTGTGCCATGTATTGCATTACCGAAGGTTGGTCAGCCTATCGGCCTACCAGTTCTCACTTCTCAGACTCGTCTGTCCCGTCAGCCTACATGTGAGATGCCATGTTGTGATGTGTTCTGGTCCTAATGTGCCTCACTTGTGCTTGTGAAACATGGAAGATCAGAAACGGGACTTGATGGATATTGTTCCTGACTAGGAGATGGCTGCCTTGTGTTTCTCTGTAAAACTACTTCATTTGGAGGAGGTTTTTGCTATCATGCTCCGTGTCATTCTCATTTCACAAGGGAGCTCTATTTCTCGCTTACCCAGCAGTGGAAACCGAGGGGGAGTGTACAAGGCCAGGCATAGTTCGTGCTGCCAGTGGGCACTCTTTTTTGCAGGCACACCAAAATCTGGGGCCCTTGCCATGGTGGTCTGCCAGAAGCAAAATTAATACTTGAAAAACCACTTTGCTTCTTCTGCTGTGTTAGCATGTTTCTGATGGTAAGAAGCACTTTATTTTTGTATGTTTTCATTGAAAGGAAGGAGGATAACAATAAAAAGTTCCTGTGCAGGAGCTGTTGGCTTGGAATATGTTTCTAGCATGCTGGTCTTCTGAACAAGGAGCCAGGGAATATCCTCTTGTGCTTGCTGCTGGGATGGAAAATGACTCCAGGGAATCAGGCTGACAAGAGACGTGAGCTACCTAATTGCAGGTAGGTTACTCTAATTCATGCTGTATGATGGGATACCCTGATGCTTTGGGCTGCAAACACAAGTTTCCCTTTACTATGTCTTTCTTTGTGAATATATATTTGTTTTGGAAAGTAAGGCAAAGCGTTAGGAGGATTATAGCTAGTAGTTGTATATTTAGTAGGAGATATTTGTGTGTGGAGAATAGGATGAACCGTTTTGGCAAGAATTGTGTTGTAGCATATGTAAAGAGTGTAAGTTAACACAGAATGAGTGAGTTGAAGGCTGGTTTGACAGTGAAGAGGGTGAGATCCATGAGTATTTGATGCTACCATCAATTTGAGGATGACCACTGGTATCTGGAGATGAAGAGGTCTTCAATTTTATGAGGACGTGGCTATTGGTCTGTGTTTAGTAATAGGAGCTGCGGTCATGGGGAGTGGGTGAGGTGAGCCTGTGACTTATTAGTCAGCTTTGTGGTTGTGTAGTTTGCCAATGAGTAAGTTACGGTAGTAAAAAGAAATATGATAATACGATGACAGAAGATCCTTGTAGTTTTGTTCTAATACTTAAGTAGGTCTAAGAACTTGCTTGAAAATACATTTTCTTCTGACAGACAGTTCATATGTTCTGCAAGAGCTCAGGAAGGAGGATAGTGAGAGAGATATATATACGCACCAAAGTATGTACGTACATATTTGTATACACACATGCATACATGCATACTAGAATCCAACATTCGTGGCCAGGACTCACAACTGCTTCAACCAGAGCAGATCAGCTAGCTTTATAAATACAGTTTCATCCTGCAGATGAACAGCAGGAGTCCTATATTTCTTTACATGTGGAGGTTAAGTCCACAGAAGTTAATAAATTTTCTTTAACTAAATGTAATAAAAGATAGGGGGTTACAGATACATACACCTGTAAAAGGCTCACTTCTGTACAGAACCCCTGTCTTCAGATGCCTTATAGTCTTAAGAAACACACCTACATTTGGGTATACCTTGTTGTGACAAACTTTTTCCTTCCCTGTTGCAACTCAGAGATGAGTGTTTGCACAGGCTCAATCCTTGCACTGCAGACAGTGATGCCAGTAGGTTTCTGTAAGGACAGAAAATACCTCTGGGCATATGGGGTATAGGTTAAACCACTACTGGTTTATTAGGAGAGAAATATGAGTCCAGCTCTGTTTTAAGATGGGACTTCTCATCATTTTTACTGTGGATTTAATTCTACATTGCAGTATTTTAATCTACTGGAAGCAAAACACTGTTATGTGAGAATGCAAGTGGTTACTTTTGGGCAGGACTGTAGGCTCTTCTGAAGGGATATTTCTTCTCCAGTTTCTAGGCAATGGTCTAGCTCCAACTGCTGAGTATGTCTTTTATAACAGCTCCTTTCACTCCAAAACCAGATAGGTCTTCCCAGCTTTGATATTACGTGTGGCTAATCAGAGGATCCAAAATATTCTGAGGTTGTAACGTGTTAGGTGAATGAAGAAAAGCCATTGCTGGTTTGCTTTTACTTATAGGTGAAACCAAATGAAACTTCTGTTTGAAAACAAGTCATGCCACGGTGTGGAGTATTGAGCAGCAATGCCTGCAGTCGAGCACCCCTGCTGCTCTCCCTCACGCTGTGCTCTGTATTGGGGTTGCTCAGATCATGGAGCAGTGGGGCCAGCCTGCTTGCCAGGTACTCGTTTGCCTGAGGGCTCCAGGTCACCCCTCTGCCACGCAGAAACATGCAGCAGGGACTTTGCTGCTGGGGTTCTGCACCCCTCATAACAATTTGCAGGGAGGTTTCTGTAGGAATGGAGACAGGTTTAAATAGGGCGGATGTTGAGTGCTCCAGTGTACGCTATGATTGAGCAGCACCCCACAAACTAACCCAGCAACAACAGCTGAGGGCTAGAAACTGCGGCCATTAGGCAGGGGCCCGTGGTCGCATCCAGAAGGGCTCCCGCGCCAGCCCCTCCTCCTGAGCTGTTTGGAGACTGAGCTCTGTGAATATGAGATTGTGCGTGTTAACGACTGAATTAAAACCTAAGTTCTACTTTGGCCAACCCTGAACTGTTTTTACGAGGAACCCGTGGGTGTTGAGGAGGAGAATCTTTATTGTAACCAAATGTTAGATTCCCTGACTCAAAGGTAGCAAAGGGGAAGTGGGAATGACCTTTTTCAAGCCTGCCAGCCATCCACAGTACCCCCCTGACAGTAACGGACACAAGCTTTCCCATCTCACATAACGTACTCCACTGAGACGGTGAAAACCATTCCTTGATGGAGTACTAACTCCTGGTGTGATACTGGGTACTGTCTCCACTGTGGTTATTATTCGAGTCCTATGTTGGCTGGCTGAGTTGTATCTGAGTTTTCTAGTGACTTCAGCTTAAACAAAAGCATACTTTTGGGGAGATAAACATTCTTCCAGCCTTTTTTCTGTAATTTCACACTTTTTTTGTGAAGCTCACAAAACTCACGAGAGGATATTGAATACTCGTGGAGTGAAAACAAGTTAGGGTGCCCTTGCTGGGGTATTGGCATTTCAGCTCCTCACTGATAAACATTACAAAGCCAGTTGTGTGGGAGCGAGACAGGGCAAGGAAGAGTGACTGGGACTCAGGGGCAGAAGGGGGGAACAGTTTTTCAGGAAATGTTTTGATTGTAATGGAAACTTAGTAATCTGCCATGAAACATACACAAATATTGTGTGTTGTCAAGAAGTGAGAGCAGAGTGAAAACATAGCTGGGCCTCAGCTAGCAGAAAACACATAATACAAACAGGCTGGGAAGCCAGGTTTGTGGTTACATGGGGACTATAAACTCTTGAACTAGCCAAGCCAAATAGCTTTCAGTCACTCTGTCAGCTACGACGCGATTACAGGTTAGTCTAACACTAATCTGCTGTTAATGAAAGTAAAATTAAGATGACTTCTTATGAGGTGCTATGTGTTTATACCTCGTACTCCCAAGGCACTTGGAGAAGGCATTATGTGCCTCAAAATCTCAAGAATATGTATTTCAAAGCAGAGGAGAAAAAAAAAAACCAGCGATGTTACGAGCAAACCTCAAAAGAAGGGCTTGAATGAAGGAAAATCTTTCTTTATTCACCTTGAACTTCAGGCTCATTTCTGAGTGGATTAGTGTGTATGTCATTAAGGCTGCCAGAACAGTAATTATGGAAACACAGGGCACTGGCTGCAGCACCTGAATGCGGTTCTAAATTTCTGCAAATACAGTGATAGTATATTCAGTGAGAAGTGAAAAATCTTTACCGAAACAATATGCCTCCAGGACTGACTTTAACAGCACAAAAATGCAATTTTTCCCATTAAAAACGATACTCCCACAGCAATTTGATGCATACCTGTGTCACCTTCATATAAAACCCACAGAGTAAGCAATTCTTTCCCTCCTCCTCCCACCCCATGCAAAGGCTTTGAACGCGCTACGGTTCAGCTCCAGTTTCTGCTTTGCGCGCTCGGAGTCGCTTACCTAGCAGACCTTGCTCCTGCAGGACTGAAATAACCGCCAGCGCCCAAAGGAGAAGCATGGCTCCAGCCTCTCCCAGCCCTGCCGTAGTCCTGGTGGCAGAGAGCGCCCCGCAGCTCCCTCCCCGGCTCCGCATCCACCCCTCTGTCCAGCCGTTTGTGCTGAGGTTTAGCCAGAGTTTGGAGGAAATATGCCCGGGCTGAGCCAAGATTCTTGAGCTGTTCTCTTCTGTTTCCCTCCTCTTAAAAAACACCCTTCCAGCTCCACACAAAGTCCAGTTACCCAGGCAAGCTGGCAGTGGTCTAAGCTCCCCAAAGTTGGTTTTTCACCCTTGTATTTATTTGCGCAGGCTACAACTGGAATGTGCTGAAGAGCCTTGGATCCTGTAAATACAGCAAGCGGGGCAAGAAAAGGAGGGGAGAAAGGAGGAGGGAAGGGGTGCTGGATGTTTCTTTCCCTGTAGGATTTAATCTGGGGCGGGGAGGGCAGGAACATTGGAAAACACAGTATTTTCAGATGTTGTGAGCTTACAGGGTTTTTCCCATTATTTGTTCACTATGAAGACTGCAGAAGCACCTTTTTTGGGAGGATGAAGCATGGTAGTGTTATGGGAGGTGGCACCTCTTTGTGGTGCTTTATGTTTGGAGCGTATCATTGGAGCTCCTGAGGGGGCCATCTAAGCACTTTTCAGTTTGGCAGGTTTTTGAAACAGGCCAGACTTGGTAACAAAAATATCATTGTTAATGGTATCCTGACAATGTGTGTGATTTCCAGAAGAATCTTAATTAAATGTTCATTGTTTGCCTTGAGGGCTCACGGGTGCTGACTGGTGTCAATCTTTGCCCCCTCTAGGCTGGTATTCAAAGATGTAAGGTATCTCCTTCCTTGTGTTGTCTCTCATATTTGTTTAAATTTAATTACCCTTTTTTACCAACTATTGAAAATAAAAGATGAAAGGCCATTAAGGTGTCAAACTTAATCCTAAAGGCCATTGTCCAGGAAAAACAGTGTTCTTACTACTGAAAATAAAAGTAGAAAACAAGCCAGAATGGATTTCCTTAGTCTTTACCACCTCCCTAGCAGTCAGAAAATCAAGTTATTCAAATACAAGATCTGAAAGTGAGCCTGTGCCTGTAGAGATGCTCTCGTAGAATTCAAAGTATAATCACCCTCAGTGACTTCCAAATCAAGTTAGATTGTAAGATCAATTACAAGGCAAAATAGCCTCAGTAACAAAGATTC